GTCTCTAGGCAGGAGGCAGAGAGAGTAGGCTCAGTTGGAAATGTGGCTACACTCCTTTTTGCAAAGCAACCAGGAGCCCCAAACCTCAATTATGAATGCTAAAAGAGAAAAAAATCAAAGCTCATGGCAGTCTGGTGTTCACCGTGCTGTTCACATAGGACTTAGTCTTGGGAGACCACCACTTCCTATCTCCACACCAGCTTCTAACACACTGCACTCATCTAATTTCACAAGCAAAACGGGGAATGAAAACAAAGTCTACAGTGCTTTCGTTTCTTGCAATTTCTTCTTCGAGCCTGTTTATGACACCTCATCACATTTTCTAAGTGCTTCCCAAACAGCCAGCTGGTTTCTTAATTCCTGGGTTTGGAGTCTTCTCCTAAAATGGAACAGGTCTTTCAAGGAGCTGGGGACCCTGAGGCTGGTACACAACAATTATTAATAGTAACAATAGCTGCCTTTTGTTAAGTACCTAATAGGCATCATGTCCAAGGCTATATACAGAGCTCCTTTATACATAATGCTCTTCCTCCTGTCATATGTTCCTTACCAACAGGGTTCTGCCTCCTTAGATTATCACACAGGATCAGTGTCTCAGAGCTTTGAAAAGCTATGTGAACATCATTAATTTTTGCAAGAAGATTTCATGCTGTGCTAGCTGAGTGAGACAGTGCTGAACAGAGAGATATCCACATAGACAATAATTCTTAACCAAACTCGTATATCAGCATAGCTTGAGGAGGTAAAATACGCTTACCAATGTCCTGCCAGGTAAAGTATGATTCATCGAGTCCAAGGTGGGATGCCGCATGTGTATTTTACCAATGCCCCTTGGGAGATACTGATGTGCACATGCTGCTGTAGGCTCACTGCCCAAAGTAATACATCTCAGTGGGTGGCAGGAGTGATGAGCTAGTGCCCTGGTAGGGGCAGGAGGGAGTGTCTAAATTACCTAAGGACTTCTATGAAACCAACCTGAGCTAGGGCCCCAGATTGAGAATCACTGCCCTGATTCTCCGGCCAGCAGGACTGCTAGGATGGTGTCATAGCCCTCTTGGGAAGGCTATGTAAATATAGAGGTTGGCTCTGATGGCCTGAGGAGGAGTCTCCTGTGGGTACACAAATGAGGGTCCATTATTTCTATCAATAATAAAAATAGATAGTATTTATTAGCACTGACCACATGCCAAGCACTTTCGCACCATATAGTATTTTATATAATTCTCAAAACAACCCTGTACTGTAGATATTATCTGCATTGATAGATGGAGGAAACAAGCCTCAGAGAGGTTAAGTAAACAGTCCAGCTAATAAGTAGCAGGGTCTGATCTGGACCCCGTGTTGCCTGATTGCAAGCCCAATGACCTTTCAAATTCCCTGAGACTCTTTGCCCTCTACCATACTGCAAGAGGTTCATCAGAAATGAACCCTCATTGACAAGTTGGCAAATTCTCCCACCATCCCTGTCCTCCCAGTCCATTGATGGCTACTAGAGCAGGGCAGTATGGGGCAAGACATATTTCTTCTGATGCTCAGTACTCTGTGTAGACCGAACATTTCCCAACAACCAACCTGACGGACAGCAAGCGCTACATGAACTAGTTAGGCAACCCTTGAATCGTTGGCCCCCCTTGGCAGAAGCAACTCTCTTTGTCATGTGTGCCTGGACATATTTTACTGTAGCACAGGTGAACATTTATTGCTCTAGCTTATATATTATTCATTTGTATGACGGTCTAGCAAGGGGAAAGGACTGTCCTATTTGTCTTTGTGTATTCTCAGAGCACACATAAACAGGCTTTCTAAAAATTGTACTTCTGGAACCTACCCCTTGGAGATTTGGATTCACTAGGACTAGGGTGGGACCTGGACACTGGCTTTTTAAATAAATACCTGAGTAATTCAATAAATACCAAAATAAGAGACGCACTATTGTAGATGCTGGATAAATGTTTGTGTAATGAGTGAATGAATGGATTCTACTTACAGAGAGGTAAGAGGCCCGGAAGTAGGTGGCCAAGATGGCCAGCATTTCATTCCAAAACCAGGATTTAGTTGAACTATCTTAATTAGTTTGGGGATATAGGTTTAAGATTCTCTCAATCTCTATTTTTTTCCTGAAAGGAACATGTAAGTATAGGGAGATATTCTATTTAT